GATAACCATGAAATAGCCCTGTGAAGTACCCCAAACAAATGGGACCCCAATCTTACACATTTTAATATTGAGTTTGGAGATGGACCAAATTTCTGATTTGCATTGATTGTAAATCATAATTAGGTTGTTAAAATTTGATAAATCATAATTTGATCAATGGAGTAGTCCTAGCGATGGCAAGATAGAATGGATGATATGCAGCATCCCCATGCCGGGACCCTCCAGATGAACGAAACCAGAATTGTCCACCCTCACCTCACCCCTTCTCAGCCAGCCTGTATTGGCTGCGCTTCTCTGGAATTCCCAGAGTTGGTGTCCAACTTCCCCTGGGGAAAAGGGGCCTTTTCCTCCAATTCTGCCTTCCACTGGGAAGATATCCTGAGTAAACAAACAGTGATGCTCCATATATTTAGGGCGTATTGGTACACCCTCCCTCTTTCAAAGCAGAAAATGTAATTAAATTAGGTCTTCTGCTTACAACTAAATACAGCTTTTATTAGATAAGTACAACTTACATAAGGCAGGCATAGCAATTTTCTGTCTGCTTCTCAAAATTGCTGCCTAAAATCTGAAACGGTTTGGAGCAGCTCTTCTGCCATCCCTGTGGCGATGCTGGAGGTTGTTACAAAACAGATGCTTATCCCAAGTTTGAAGAAGGAGAACTGAGAGCTTTAGGATTTTAGATTTCTCTAGTAAACTGGCTTTTTGGGTTCCTTCCTTCCTTCCTTCCTTCCTTCCTTCCTTCCTTCCTTCCTTCCTTCCTTCCTTCCTTCCTTCCTTCCTTCCTTCCTTCCTTCCTTCCCTGGTTCCTATATGTTGTGGAAACAATTTTGATATATCCCCTTTAGTGAGTGAATGGCTTGATTGACATAGCTTTGCCAGGTTCTAGCCATATAGCAGAGTTTCATGAAACAGTAAAGCTGAATTTGACTTTCTCAGAAAATCTGGAAGGTTTTTCCTCTGATTCAGAATCTGTTTCACTGTCAAAAGAAGAGTTTTTCTTCCATGACCAGAACGGAGAAAAACAAGCGTGGTTTCTCCTGTGCCTACCACACGTATCCCCAAAGAGTACAGCTTTCTATTACTAGTGTCGTGCCTGAATAAAAGCAGTTTTTAAAAGGAAGAGGAATCACAACTGTTTTCGAAGGAAGCAGCTGAAATGAATTTACATGTTGTTTCAATTGTTTGAAATAAGCATTATTTGATGTGGTTCACAAACAAAGGAAATGTATTTTAAATTCAGCTGGCAACAACTCCATGAGCTTAACCGGTATCCAAGGAAACATATCAAATGCAGGTATGAAGTTTACACACGTGTGTGTGTGTCTGTGTGTCTAGTTTATACAGAGGCACACACAGAAACACAGACACACACATTCTGAGTTTTGAGTAGAGCTTTTTTTTATATAAAGATTTCAGTATCAACTTGGAATAATTGAACCAAAGAACTGAAGGGAGATTGATTTGGTCAAACCTGGAAGCCTTTGTGGGGTTTCTTAATCAATTCTGGCAGCTAATTTTCAGCAGTCCCCGGAGTCTCTTCTCCCATCCTCACATGCTGAAAGCCAAGTTAACTGATGGATGTACACAACACACATGTTAAGAAAACCCTTCTTGCTTGATTGCTCTAGAGAGAAGGGCTTATATTTTTAACAATTTATTATTTCAATATGCCTTTGATGCAGCTATCTGGCTCTACCGTTTCTGTTCATTGTGCAGGTGTTTGGTAAACACAACTGGCTAATTCTCTAAATATTAACATGACCAGGTGTTCAGTGTACTTTCCATTGGTTTAACAGAGTTGATTGATGGCACCCTGGGAGGGATTTTGTTTTTAGAGTTCTTGTTCCTGCTTCTTGTCTACCAGGTAGGTTCAAAGGATGTTTCACCCTGGAATGAAGAAATATAGTACTGGCAAAGAATCAAGCAGTGATATTATATTCCTGCAGAAGGAGCAGCTTGGGTGTTAAATAAGCAGATGGACACTGGCCTTGCATGTTAAAGAATATTAAAAGTGATGCATCTGCAAAGGATTTTCTGTGGAACAAATTGTTTTCTTCGTACAAAGAGACAGAGATGAAAACAGAGAATGTCTGATCCAGATTTCAGATGGAGAGGAACTTGTATGCTCTCCATGTTCTTGTGTTTGGGAAATGTGAATCTTCCAATAGAAGAGAATATTTGTAGCTCAGGGTTGAATTGCAGAATCCTTGGTGCTCCCTGAGCTTGGTTGTTGACTTACAGACGTTTCATGACCCAAATAGGTAACATTATCAGGGCGCTGATGCTGCAGGCCAACAACCAAGCTGAGAGGCCATCAAGCACGCCATAAAGGTGGGTATATTGAATGGCTGGTATTTAAGTACTTCGCTCCCTCTACGTGATGATGTGATGAATGCTTCACTGAAAGCAGAACTGGAGGCATTCTTCTTCTGATGTTTGAGTGTCCCGTGTGTCTTTGATGAGTACTCAGAATTGTTTATTCCAAGCTAAGTCCAAGGAAAGTATTAATCTTACCCAGGAAGACTAGAACTTCTTTCTTATCCTTGGAGAAGAGAAAATACTGAAGGAATGGTTCCATGTTGAGTCCCAAAAAACAGACTTCTATCATGCTGTAGTTTGAGAGGGGCTTTTTTCAGTTTTGGAAAATAAGAGTTTGATCCTTTGGTAATTCTTTCCAGATCTCTGTCAGGCATTAGGAAAGACCTCATATCAAAGACAGTGTTTTTGACATGAAGAAACTAAATAGTGTGGCAAGTTCACGCTAATATTATTTTGACTCAGTCAATAACAGACAGTTGAGTGTTTCTGGACAAGGCAACAGGAAGGTGGTGACAGTGATGGTTCTGCATTGTGGTTACATCTGCACCCTAAACGTTTACAGGATTTAAAACTGTTATAACTGCTGTGGCCTCAATCCAGAGAGATGACAAGTTGATTCTCCTCAGCTATCAATAAATGATTGGGTCATCTTTACTGCTTTGAAGACTCTTTAATTAGGAGTTAGAAATAATTATATTCTGGGTTTGGGTGAGTCAGCAATTTTATGGGTCTCTTAGATGCCAGCCATTCAACAAATTTCCCTAAAAGAAACACTACCAAGCTTTAGGAATGGAAGTTCCACATTTTGAGTTGGTTGGATGGAATTGTTTGAGTTTCGCTTGTCCTGGACATAAATTGTTTGTAGTGTTGACATATTAGAAAACCATGTACCATTGTAATAAAATAAGGATTTTAGTGCTCACCTACAAGGATTCATTCCTAGGAGGGGTAAATCAACCCAATGCAGACTCCCATTCCAGTAGTGTGGAATAATTTTTTTTTTTTAAAATCCATTTCTATTTGGGAGCTTTGGTTCCCATCGAGTGACTTCTCTTGATAAGCCCTGTATGCAATCAATCAAATAAATTACCATTCTTCTGTACTCACAAACGGTGTACATTCTCACTTGTCCCTAGCAAATGCCGAGTCAGCCTCTTCCCACAACTGTTGTGGTTCAGTGCTCTGCGCTTGATGCCTGACAACGATATCCCTTCCTTCTCCAGCCGTTTTGAGCAACCAGCAAGTTTTGCTTGCTTTGTTTGTGGCTTCAGCATCCTTTAGAAAGGCCACACTGTAGAGTTTATTGTGGACTTGCATCAGATCAGAACATTGGCTCCGGCTCTCCTCTTCTGGGTTTGCCAGATCTTCTGAATTCACAGAGAGGAAAATAAAATGTTTTTATCCCTGTCTCACTTTTCTTTTTTTTTGTCAATTGTAATTGAAATGATCTGTTCCCCCCCCCCAATTTTGGATGTCACAAGGAACAGTGGCTTGTTTTAGATGCAGAAACAAAATTCTCCGGGGTTCTTGAGGTTGCAAAGAAAACAAGGAAAGAGAAAAAAGAATATGTGAGTTTCACCCTCCTATGATTCTTGCATGTAGCAGGTGACCCTGATTTCCTTTTCTGCCCAAACTGGGCCTTTGCAGGGCTGTTGTTGTTGTTAATTGCGAAGTCGTGTCCGACCCATCGCGACCCCATGGACAACATTCCTCCAGGTCTTCCTGTCCTCTACCATCTTCTGGAGTCCATTTAAGTTCACACCTGCTGCTTCAGTGACTCCATCCAGCCATCTCATTCTCTGTCGTCCCCTTCTTCTATTGCCCTCAATCTTTCCCAGCATTAGGCCCTTCTCCAGTGAGTCCTTCCTTCTCAGTAGGTGGCCAAAGTATTTGAGTTTCAACTTCAGGATCTGGCCTTCTAAAGAGCAGTCGGGGTTGATCTCTTCTAGGACTGACCGGTTTGAACGCCTTGCAGTCCAAGGGACTCGCAGGAGTCTTCTCCAGCACCATAGTTCAAAGGCCTCCATTCTTTTGCGCTCAGGGCTAGAAGGAGATTTGTTTTCACTTGCAGGGACTGTTGGATCAATGCTGCTGTAAAAGAATTCCCTCCTTGTTGTTTATATGCTAGTATCCATTTATACAGGTGGCTCTCAACTTACGACCACAACTGAGCCCAACTCTTGCTGAGTGAGACATTAGTTAAGTGAGTTTTGCCCCAATTTATCACCTTTCTTGCCACAGCTGTTAAGCAAATCGCTGCAGTTGATAAGTTAGCAACCCTGTTGTCAAATGAACCCGGCTCCCCCCCTTGACTTCGCTTGTCAGAAGGTCTCAGAAGGGGATCAGATGCCCTGGGGACTCTGCAACCGTCGTAATCATGAGCCAGTTGCCAAGTGTGTGTCTCTTGATCACATGACCACGGGATGCTGCGACGGTCATAAGTATGAAAAATGGTCATCAGTCACTTTTTTCAGTGATGTTGTAACTTTGAATGGCCACTAAATGAACTGTTGTAAGTCAGGGACTACCTGTACTTAATGTGTGATTTTTCTTTTTGGGCTTTTTGTTATTCACCTGCTTAAAATGAGCCCAGTCTATGCGACATAGATTTTGACTATGGGCAATTCTATTATCTCGGTGAGGAGCAAAGCGCCCTATTCACGTGTGTTTCTTTTTAGAGGATTATCCTAGCGGGACGTGGCTTGGGGACGAAAACAATCCTGAGATGCGTGTGCGCTGCCCCATCACCCCAGCAGACATGCTCCACATCAGCACCAATTGCCGGACGGCTGAGAAGATGGCGCTGACGTTGCTTGATTACCTATTCCATCGAGAAATCCAGGCAATCTCTAACCTTTCTGGGCAAGGGAAGCACGGGAAGAAACAACTCGATCCTCTCATGATCTACGGCATCCGTTGTGAGTACTGGGTCTCCTTGGGCCTTGAGATCTCTCCCCACAAGCACTTCTTTCAAGCCTGGATAGGCAAACATGGGGTGACTAATGACTTGGGAGAGGGTTGGCCCAGGGTGGTGGCCAATAGTCTTGTTTTGATGGGGAGGTGCAGCTTCTGTCGTCTGGAAGTGCTCTGACATTCTGCAGTCTGAATCCGTTCCCACAGAAGCCGGCAAGAAAGATGTACTTGGCTTGACTGGGTGGAAGATTCAACCTTAGCATTTATACAGCTGCATTCTAACACAAAAGTTTTGTCAGTCTAGGAAAATTACCCAACAATTTCCCCTTTGCTGTAATGGAAAGCATCCGAAATTGATGGTTTTGCTTTGCAAATCCTTAAATCAGGGGAAAGTACACCAAAACAATGTTCAGTTGACCCATTCCAGTTTTGCTGAGCTGCATATTTCCGAAAGTGGTTGAAGGCTTTCTTGTTGTTTCCTTCCTTATCTCCAGGCTGAAATTCTGTTACCTTCTTTATAAGTTGTGGCTAAATTAGGGTGATCAGACCCTTGGAAGCCCCTATTGAGAGCCTTCACATCCCTGTTCTCGGTTCAGGATGTTCCTCTGAATTCAGCTTGCTGTGAGTGAACATTCCCCGGTGTTCTTGACATTTCTGATGGAGAAAGTGATTGAAATAATAATGTTTATAGTAATAACGGGTGCATTTCCAATAGGGATGTTATGCAAAAGTATTCAGGTTGGACACAGATCAGATCTCGGTTTCGATCGACTCTTATCAGAGAGAATATGTTTGCTTCTGGCTGCGTTGGATGCTTTTTCCAAAGCAGGACCGGCTCATTTTATTTTTGTTTTGCACGTGCAACATTTCACAGGTTGACTCTTGATCCTATCGAAACATCTAGGAATGAGGCAAATTTTGCTGCTGCTGGAAAAAGTATAATTTTATTGAAAATAAGGAACTGAGCCTGCCTCACCGCCATTAAGAGCCGGGGTTTCTGGTTGTATTCCTCTAGGGATAAATAGGTAGGAGATGCTTAACCTTCCTCTGATGAATGTGAAAGTGTCTGGTTTAGAAGATTGGATTTGGGGCCTGGATTTACCTGGGTGGTTGAACAGCTCCAGCAGATCAAGGAAGTGATGGGATCTGCCTTGGGAAAAAAGGCCATTTCTTGAGGAAGTAACTCTCAGCAGTTATCGAATTAAGCTAGAAAAAGCTTAAAAGTCTCCGATGCCATTCGCCTTCAGGTGGGCTGTCCGGATATCCCTGGTCTAATCCAATTTCCTCATTCCATGCTGCTGCATGCTAACAAATAAATAAATAAATAAATAAATTCAGGGATGACCCGGCTTTTCCCCCATTGTCCAGTGGCAGCTGGATAAGGCAGCTCACCCCATGTTGACAGTTGGGATGGGAATCTATTGATTGGAAGAGGAGGTTGAGAAAAGTTGGCTTTCAAAGGAAATGTCAAAGGTCTCCTTGAATGTTAAAGAGAGTCTCCTTGTGCATGTTTACGTGTGGGTACACTTAAATGTGACCCAGCAGAGTTGTGTTATGGGAGAAAGGAACAGCAACGATTCTGTATAAGTATCGCTCTAAAATATTGCGAATCAAGTTTAGTCTATTCCATTGTGATGCTTGGAATGGCAAACCACATTTCATGATCAGAGATAAAAGGTTCAGAATGGTGCTCTTCCAGAGGTTATGAATTTATGAAGATTAATACTGAAAGGATAGAAAAAGCAAATCAGTTGATCTAAACCATACATCTCTGTCTGGAAGCTTAAGTCATGGTATGGATTAGAAGTCACGTTTTGGGGAAGCCACAGGTTACACTGATGTCTGAACTGAAGCACTGATGAACCCACCCACTGAATAATATACCACCCACTTACCTTTTCTCCGATAACCTGTGGAAGAGCATAATTTTCATCCTGGATGCTGAGGCACCCTCCCCAGTGCCACACTGCAGGATTGCCAAGTTGCCTTTTGGTTAAGTCTCGTCTTTCAACCCATCAGTGGAAAGATTCTTGTTGATCCTTTTCTCTTTCTGGGAAAAAAGCCCCAACCAAATCTGTATTTAATAGAAAATATTTTGAAAAGTATATAATATTCTGCAGCCGCACTTTCCAAATGAGGGGAAATATGCTTATTAAGAATTCTGGATATTGTGCATAAGCTTTCCCACAAGCTATTAATCTTTTGAGGTGTATATTTTCATTCGGTTGCTTTCCATAATGGCAGTGGGCAGCTGATCAATGAAGGCAGGATTCGGGCAAACTGGATGGTTAAGGACTCTTTCCATCAAGGCTACTAAAGAAACATTTTTTAGAGTAGTGAAATCCAATAGGCAGTGGTTAACAGGTTTTTTTGTTGCTGAAAATATAGTTTACTCTCTCACAACAAGGACAAATAAGTTCCTTAGACATTTCTGTCCAATATTCTTAATATTAACTGAAGTTTGTGTATTAACAAGACAGACTTTGTCGATGTAGGTTGAGTTCTATCAAAAGTCCAGAAGGAAGATTGAGGGGGAATATGGCAAATACATATATTCCTCGAAGTGATTTATTTTTATTTAACTAAAAGGAAGACAGAGGAAAGGGGTTGACTCCAGGACTAACAGTTCCTTCATCTGCCAAGTTCTGTGAATAATGTACCCTTCTCTAAGGAATAATTTCTAATGACTTTGAGCAAGGATAATGCTTCTTATCTGGAATAAGTAGGACAAGGTCCAGCCTTTGCTTAAAGCCAGATAAAAGTACGGCCAGCAAGGGAGGATAGGACATATCCCACTGTGCTGCCAGAGAATATGGAATTTCAGCAAATCTTTCCCCTGGGACTTCATATTGCTTTTTTTCCTTGGGCAATTTACCCAAGGATCTCTCAGTGGCAGAGAATTGGTGTCCAGTTATTATGAACTGGAGGGGCTGTGATATCAGTCACTCATCCTTGGACTGACACACTGCAGGGAGGACAAAAAGCTCCTTTGCTCAAGCAAACAAGTAGAAAAAACAGACTCAGTCTCTGTCTCTCTGTCTGTCTGTCTGTCTCTCTCCCTCCCTCTCTCTCTCTCTCTCTCTCCCTTTGTCTCTGTCTGTCTGTCTGTCTGTCTCTCTCCCTCCCTCTCTCTGTGTCTGTCTGTCTGTCTGTCTCTCTCTCTCCCTTTCTCTCTCTCTCTCTCTCTATCTCTCTCTCTTGTTTCTTTCTGTACAGAAATGGAGAAATGGAAGTGTTGCCCTGCAGAGAACAACTGTACTGGGGGCAAGGGGAGAGCAAGCAGAATTAGGGTGGAATTGTTTGGGACTAAAATTGGGCAAAAATGTAGAAAGAACTTTTCTCAGAAGGGCACAGAAGTAGCCACAGTATTAAAACCCACCTTTAATGTGATTATTAATCCCTACCAGGATAGAAAATATGGTAGTCTGCCTCTGTCATCTGCGAATCTACTATCAGCTTAATCCATCAGCAATAGGGTCTGTTTCATCTGGAACCCATCAGGGTTTAAAATAGCCCAGACGGAGGGCTGCAACCTAAAGCAAATTATACAAACCTATCAAAATATAACAAGGAAAATAAGCAGATTTCTGTTTCTCGTTAGCGCAAGATGAACTTCATCCGAAGGCTTTTGCGATCTGCAGATGTTGGGAAACCATATCTTCTCAGGAGAGCAGAACGGGACAGCGAAATCTTGGTGGACTGAACTGCAGAGTGCAAAGCTTGTAACGCCAAAAATATGCTTTTCTTGGCGAAGCAATTCTCCCAGAAATACACACACCCTGTAAGGTAGCACCAGTGGCCTTGGTCTGAACTGCCAGTGCCCTCACTTGCTGACTTTAGGATGGGGAAGCAGAGCCTCAGGATCAGGGGTGGGCAACTATGGCCCCCTTTATGACCCGTGGACTTCAACTGCTGGCTCAGGAATTCTGGGAGTTGAAGTCCACAGGTTGTAAAGGGGGCCATAGTTGACGGACTTAATGGGGAGCATCTTGGAATTGGACGGCTTGATCTTTGCCAGCAGTTTCTTTCCCTCGATTTGCTCCCTCACAACAGTTCGTTTAGTGACTGCTCAGTGTTACAACAGCACTGAAAAAAGTGACTTAGGATCATTTTTCACACTCACGACCTCTGCAGCCTCCCCGTGGGTCACGTGATCAAAACTGAGGCGCTTGGCATCTTCACTCCTACTTCATGACTGTTGCAGCATCCCAAGCTCGGGGGATCCCCCTTTTGTGACCGGCCGGCAAGCAAAGTCAACGGGGAGAAGCCGGATTCACTTAACAACCGTGTGGCTAACTGATCAACGGCAGGAATTCACTGAGCGGCTGTGGCAAGGAAGGCCGTCAAGTGGGGCAAAACACACCTAGCGACAGAAATGCTGGGCTCGGTTGTGGTCGCTAGCCGAGGACTCCCTGTGTTAATTTTTGTGGGATAGGAAGTCCGTCTGTGCAAGCTTAGGTGTCAGTTGGAGCTGTGGGATTCACCCAGCAAACAAAATGAAATTCAATGGTGAAAAAAGTAAGGTTCTACATTTAGGCAAGAAAAAACAAATGTGCAGTATAGTATAGGGGGGTACCTTGCTCAATAGTAGCAACTGTGAGAGGGACCTCGGAGTCCTAGTGGACAATCCCTTAAATAGGAGCCAGCCGTGTGCTGCAGCTGCCAAAGAAGCCAACACAGTGCTAGGCTGCATTAACAGACGGATAGAATCAAGATCACGTGAAGTGTTAATACCACTTTACAGGGCCTTGGTAAGGCCACACTTGGAATACTGCATCCAGTTTTGGTCACCATGATGTAAAAAAGATGTTGAGACTCTAGGAAAAGTGCAGAGAAGAGCAGCAAAGATGATTAGGGGACTGGAGGCTAAAACATATCAGGAACGGTTGCTGGAATTGGGTATGTCTAGTTTAATGAAGAGAAGGATGAGGGGGGACATGATAGCAGTATTCCAATATCTCAGGGGCTGCCCCAAAGAAGAGGCAGTCAAGCTATTTTCCAAAGGGCCTGAAGGCAGGACAAGAAGCAGCGGATGGAAACTAATCAAAGAGAGAAGCAACCCAGAACTAAGGAGAAACTTCCTGACAGTTAGAACAATTAACCAGTGGAACAATCTGCCTCCAAAAGCGGTGAATGCTCCAACACTGGAAGTTTTTAAGAAGAAACTGGACAGCCATTTGTCCGAAATGGTATAGGGTTTCCTGCCTGAGCAGGGGGTTGGACTAGATGACCTCCAAGGTCCTTTCCAACATCATTATCATCATCATCATCATTGTAGTTGAGTTATTCTGCCAAAGGAAGGTCCCCATGCCTCAAAGAGAGGGATGCTTGTCCACTCCGGCTCTGCACGGGGATGGAACTGCGGCATTTATTTTCAGATAGCTGAGATCGCGTATCCTGAAAAGGCAGAATTCTTTAAAAGATTTCTCTTAATCTCAGGTTTTATTGTTTTGCTCAGCTCATCGAAGGCTTAGGGACCTGCTGTGTGAACTGCTACCTTGGTGCGTTTGTCATATTGAAGCTCAAGTTGGAAGGGGAATTTGGGGGCAGTAAATTCTAAAGACACGGTCGTATTTTCTGGGTAGTCTGCCTTGCATTTTATTTTTGTATGGGCTCCAAAATATTTACTCCCCTCAAGCCGAGAATTGCTAGTAAAAGCTATTGGTGCGTGGGCTGCACATTGCGAGGCCCGAATTGCTAATATTAAGCGTGGATCTGAATCGAGTGTTAAACCTGGAAGCCGTTGAGCTTCTTCAAAACAGCCCCTGCCTGATGAGCTCTAATGAGAAATTGAGCTGAGCTAACGAAGCTGCCGGCTTGCCATTTCGAAGCCATAACACTCACAGAGCATGAAACCCTGGAGTTTTATCACCGTTCCAAACCAACGTGGTCCTCCCATTAGCCAGCTTTCTTCTTTTAATGAAATGCTTTTTCAGCATCCTTTCCAAATATTGAGCTCCAATTTGCTCCCATAAATCAGCGATTCGGTTACATTAAATGAGAACAAGAACATTGCAAATTAAGTCTGAATACTCCCGATTGCAAATGTTGAAAGCGCCTTGTTTAATATGTGCAGAATAACCGTTTCGTTTCCAGTGGGCTTGCAAGCTTCAGCACTGCTTGGGGGCGTGCAGAGCCATCCATTTCTAACTTTGGAGGTTTAATTCTTCTTCTAGAGCAGTGTTTCCCAAACTTGACAATTTTAAGGCATGAGGACTTCAACTCCCAGAATTCCACAGCCAGCAACGCTGGCTGTGGAATTCTGGGAGTTGAAGTCCACATGCCTTAAAATTGTCAAGTTTGGGAAACACTGCTCTAGAGGTTTCTCTCCAATTTTCTGTGCATATTTTCAAAGGTCCACAATTTCTATTCACTGTACAGTAGTGAATGTTCCATCATCATTTTAAGAATATCCCAGACATCCTCTGTGACTCAGAATTAGAGAGGGAGTAATGATTTTCCCAGTTGTTGAATTGGACTGTGAAGACACCAAGCACAATTGAGGGAACAGCCTCGAGCTTTTTTTTTCATTGCCGGTGCTGAAAAGAAAATTATAGTTTGCACTAGGTACTAAACTGCCAATATACTTGGCGTTGCAGAACGGATTGAAAAACAGAACTTCATCTCACATGCATTTTCTTATAGTACAGCTCCAACAGTCAAACTCTGTTGTGACGTGTTAGATTAAGTATAGTAACGTGATTTGCACTGCCTTCACGCTGCATTTGAAAGCCACACAGAACAAGGCTTGTCCCTTAATATCTGAATCAGCAAGAGGTTTTATTTGGTCATTAAGCCAGTGGGAAATCGATGGGCCCCTGTCAGTTTGAAATTGGGGACTAACAAGTTCTCAGAACAAAGCATAAAGCACTGAAGTGTTTTGAGAATTGCATCTACGTTTTGCCCAGAAGGGAAAAACAGCTGAAACTAGCTGGCTTAGAACTCTAGAAGGGAAGCATTAAGTTTGTTTGTTGGCCAGTTGCCCCGAAAGAGGAGAACCACCGTCTTGCTGTGATGTTGCTGATCTCCTCTGCAAACACCTTCTCTTCTTTACTGGAGTTTCTCCGTTTTGCCTCTGGTTTTCAAGGAGCTCTCTGTTAATCTGTTCAGTCTTGCCATATGCAGACAACCAAGTGCCCATTTTAAGGACGAGGATAGTTGGGTGACTTTGCAGGTCAGAGCCTTACTGAACCCAGGGAGTTTTGCTTGGGGGTAAACAAGCTTGGGGGTCGCCTTGCATAGTTAGGCGTTGTCTGGCTCCTCACCCCACACTCCGGGTTTTCCTCTGCTTACGGTCACAATTCGATCAACCTGAAATCAAGGAAGCAGGTTCCAGGGAGGAAGGCCCTGGAAGGATCTCTGTGACTTTGAAATGCCAAAGCTTCCTGATTAGTGCTTCCAAGTGGATTGCCAGTTAGACGAAATGCTGTTCTGCTGAACTGGATAGAATACAGTCTCCTGCTTGAGCTGGGGGCTGGACTAGAAGACCTCCAAAGTCCCAGGCAGTCTGTTAATAAGATTGCAAGACGTAGTGCGCAAGGAAGGCAAAGAGTACAAAACGGATAACGTGCTGCATTACACGTAGTTTTCAACCTTTCACCTCAGTTGGCTTTAAAGAAGATTTTCTAATAACCACTGCCAGGAGTTCGATCCTGACCGGCTCCAGGTTGACTCAGCCTTCCATTCTTCCAAGGTCGGTACATGAGGACCCAGATTGCTGGGGGCAAAACGCTGGCTCTGTAAACCGCCCGGAGAGTGGTATAAAGCACAGTGAAGTTTGATTAGATGCCCAGACATTGCTTGATGAAGACTGTACAGGTAGTCCTCGACTTACGACCAAAACTGAGCCCAACATTTCTGTTGTTAAGGGAGACATTTATTAAGTGGCTTTGCCTCATTTTACGACCTTTCTCGCCATGGCTGTTAAGGGAATCACTGCGGTTGTAAAGTTAGCCACGCGGTTGTTAAATGAATCACTTTTCCCCATTGACTTTGCTTGTCAGAAGGTCGCAAAAGGGGATCACGTGACCCGGGGACACGGCGACTGACATAAATGTGAGTCGGTTGCCAAGGGTCTGCATTTTGATCACGTGACCGATGCCAGTGTGAAAAAAACAGTCAGAAGTCCCTTTTTTGTAACTTTGAATGGTCAGTAAATGGACTGTTGTAAGTCGAGGACTGCGTGTATTATTTAAACCTCGCCAACTGCTGATGCCTTCCGTCAAATGTGGATTTTCTTTTGCCCCGCAGGTCACCTTTTCTACAAGTTTGGCATCACCGAGTCTGACTGGTACCGGATTAAGCAGAGCATAGACTCCAAGTGCCGGACAGCCTGGCGGCGGAAGCAGCGAGGCCAAAGCCTGGCCGTAAAAAGCTTTTCGCGACGGACACCCTCTTCTTCCTCGTACAGCGGCTCAGGTAATTACTCCCCCCCCTTCCCATCCAGGTGAAGCCAGCTTAGTGGCCCTCTTGTTGTAAGGCGTCTTTTTATGTACAGGTGGTCCTCGACTTAATAACCGTTCGTTTAGTGACCGTTCAGAGTTAAACGGCACCGAGAAAAGGGACTTATGACCGCTTTTCACAGTTACGACCTTTGCAGCAACCCCAAATCATGTGATCAGAATGCAGACACTTGGCACCTGGTTCATCCTTACGACCGTTGCTGGGTCCCAAGGGGGCCCCGTGATCCCCCTTCTGCCACCTTCCGGCAAGCGAAGTCAAAGGGGAAGCCGGATTCACTTAACAACCGGGTTACTAACTGATCAACTGCACTGATTCACTTAACAACTGAGGCAAGCAAGGTCGTAAAATGGGCCAAAACTCACTTAACAAGTGTCTCACTTAATGACAGCAACGTTAGGCTCTGTTGTGGTCGTAAGATGAGGGCTACCTGTAGACGTTTTTCTACTATGTCGCCCTGGAGTCAAGGCGTGACCCAAATGTCTTCCCCTGGAAAATGTTGTCTACGTAACTTGGTAGTTGCCACTTACCCGGACAGTAGTAATTCGCACTGCTCTTAAACCAGCCATCTGTGTGGCTGGGAGTTTTCTTGTGGAACCGCCTTGGTATCCTCCTTTCTGAACCAAAGTGAATTACCGATCCGTATCTGTGATTTTCACTTTTTAAATCCCAGTGGTTTCAACTCCCCCCTCTTCCTTTTCTTGCTAATTAGGTTTCTCAGTGAAAGGTGTAGGGCGGTTTTCTGAAAGAGGGCCTGAAGCTGGAGAATCTCATATTTGTGAATACTCGGAACCAGGATAGCCCAGGGCTTTTCAACCAGTGGTACAGGCACCACCTGTGGTACATTGGCACCTGGCAGGTGATACGCGACCATCCTAGAAAAAGTGGTAGCGTGGGAGGGGAATGAGCTGAACTGGTGGCAGCACCGCACAAGCCTGAGCAAGAGATGGCTGGAGCTGCAGGGCTGTCCGGGCTCAGCGGAAGCGCCAGGATCAGCGCCATGTTCCAGCTGGAGCTCAGCACTGATCCTGGCACTTCTGCTGAGCCCAGAAGAAGCGCCGATCAGCTGGAATGTTACAGCGTCTCCAGGATCTTGTGATTTACATTCAGATGCTTGGCAACTGATTCATATTTATGACGGTCACAGTGTCCCAGGGTCATGTGAAGTGACCAAAACCTGCTGCAACCACCCAGCAGATGGGGGGGGGAATAAAAAACCAACACCCCCCCCACTCCACCCCCGCTGCCAATCCTCCACAGAAATGCTCACAACAATGAAAACCTCGGACAGGAGGAAGAGCGAGGCCGGGTGGGTAGGCAGGTGTCTTGCTCGGTTGTGGCTTGGGGGGCACTTTTTTCAGTGGCATTGTAACTTCGAACAGTCACTAAGCGAACTGTTGTAAGTCGAGGACTACCTGTACTTTATCACTTTTTTCCTTTTGGGGGGGGGGTCATCAAGTTTTTGACACCTTGCTAGGTGACTGGTGGTACTCGGATATTGCCATATCCTAAAAGTGGTACAATGGGTGAAAAGGTTGAAAAGCCCTGGGATAGAGTTCAAAAGAACTACAAGTTTATTTCCTGCTACTTACTCACAAGAATCTGAATTCCTAACAGTCAAGGCAAATTGGCGCCAGACAGGGGCCAATGGACTTCAAGGGGGGGGGATGGACTCCTACGGGGTGTAGAGACTCCAAACTAATAATGCTTTTAACCCCACTCCCCTCCGCCTGGTCATCTCCTACCATGCTTAGATGATAACTTGGAGAGACCCCATAATCAGTGTAGGGAATCCTGGACCAAAGACTCCAGCGACCCCACTCCCAGGAGGGCTGGTTTGTGGGACACAGGGCTTGCTCTCTGATTTAGTCCTCCCCCCGGGTCCCAATTTGCCTGTCTTTAGTGAGCTGGTAAGGTTGCCCTCGTTCCTTCTGTCCCTTTGTTTTACCATCTTCCAGCATTTCTCTTCCAGCCAGTTAGACTGAACTTCTTGTGACCAGTCTGGACAGGGAGGAAGAATGGTTTAATCTGAAATATTTTGGAAATCTCATTCAGCCTTGGAAATGAGCTTGCAGGAGAACAAAAGAACTGGTTGAGGTCCAGTCCACAGAGCAAATAAAAGGCATGCATATGAGCAATAAATGAAAAATAGTTATCCCGGCGCGTGTCTTTGATGTGGACTGGGAGCCAGCCAAATGGGTCTCTTGCCACGCGAGCCAGGATCTTTCATTCTCCTGTCGTCTAAAGGGAACGTCACTCGTTTCCTAGCAGAATGCTACATTTGGAGCCATCTGACCCTATTAACTAGCTGCGAGGAGACAGGAGAGAAAGTGCTTGTGCCCACATCGGAACGTCAGCCGGGCTTTGTTCCAAAGCGATCCAGTTTGCTTTAATGGGCTGAATGGAGATGGCCCACTTCAAGAGCTCTTTCTCAGAACCCTGAAAGCCCTTGAGATGGCAGCATAGCTGAAGGAAGGTTTAGGGAGGGGTGCCTGGTATTAACTTGCAAACATTGGCGTTTCTTTCCCAACCTCCCCTGAGAGCAGATACAGCTAGGATGAGACCTACCCTCTGCCGAACTGAACGGGGCAAGAGGCAGTGCCCATAAAAGTGGGCAGAGCTTTGACTGAACTGTTATGGCCGCCATCTTGGCTCTTTTGACCTCACCCTGTGGACCTTCCAGGGCAAGGGTGAGGATACAGGTGGTCCTCGACTTACGGCCTTAATTGAGCCTCACATTTCTGTTGTTAGGTGAGACAGTTGTTAAGTGAGTTTTACCCCATTTGACTACCTTTCTTGCCTCTGTTGTTAAGTGAACCGCTGCAGTTGATAAGTTAGTAACCCTGTTGTTAAGTGAACCTGGCTTCCTGGTTGACTTTGCTTCTCAGAAGGTTGCAAAAGGGGATCATACGACCCTGGGACACTGCGACCACCGTCAGAAACCCAAGTCAGTTGCCAAGTGTCCGAATTTGGATCACGTGACCCCGGGGGTGCTGCAGCGGTCGTTAAGTGTGAAAATGGTCACAGGTCACTTTTTTCAAGGCTGTTGTGGCTTTGAAATGTAAAAAGTTTCAAGCTCCGGGCAGAAAGCAGAGATTGAAGAGAATTTTGCCTGCCTGACAGCTTCGGTCTCTCTAATAATAATAATAATAATAATAATAATAATAATAATAATAATATTGTGGGGCTTGTGTACTCTGAGGAAGATGAGAGCTATGCCAGAGGTTCAACCATACTGGACAGGTCTCATCAGAGGAGTCAGACAAAGAGTGTCTCTCCCATAAAAAATATGGTGAGACGTAAATTTCAGAATGCCATACCGGCTCGGACGTCGCCCGGGTTAACAAGGTCCGCACTAGATATTGGAGTTCCTGGATATCTGGTGAAAAATGGGTTACAGGACTCAGGACTGTTGGCTGAGCAACCAGGGCCAGCAGCTGCAGAACTACTGGAAGAAAAGGTGTTTACCCGTCGCAGATACACAGTGATGGAAAACAAAGAAATAATGATCTGTTACTACAGATCAAGTCCAACAAGACGAGGATATCTAAAACGAATGCACCAGTTCTGGAAAGAACAACATCCAGAATCAGAAATAACAGAACAGAGACTAGCAGATCAACGCCGATTTATAACACGAAATAAAGTATTCACAGAAACAGAATTGGACGAACTGCAAAGGTTTACCCAGGGCAAAGAAATCAAAGCCTTACAAGAAGTAATTCAGAATGTAGAGGCAAACCAGGGGGGTTGGCAGTGAAAGAATCCAGTAGAGATATACAACTGTTCTCATTTGGAAACCAGGCACCTCTTCCTCAGGAAGAACAAAACCCTCTAACTAAAGAAATAAAGAATTGAAACAAAGAATAATTGAGCATCTAGAACAGCACAAAAACAACAGAATAAGGCTGCCTGCATTGAAGCTTGTTCCAAAGAAACAGCTAGCAACAAGCATTAAAAGATGCAAATAATGCAATACAAGTATAAGCACCAATTCACTGCAAGAAACAAACCAATTAATGTACAGCACAGCTGCAGTTATAACAGAATACCTGGATGTAAAATCAACAAAAAAGAAAAACAAACAAACAGTGCACCAGAAAAATGGAAGGTTAGACTAGAAAATAAGATCAGCAAGTTAAGAGCACATGCAAGCAAGCTAGAACAGATGAAAGAAAAGAAGCTGAAGAACAAGAAGACCAAAGAATACCTAATCAAGAAATACCACTTAGAAACAAGGAAGATCAAGGAAGCACTGGAAATAATAAAGCAACAAATAACAGCTATAGCCAGGAAAATCAGTAGATATGAAGCTCGAATTGCAAACTATAGGCAGAACCTCCAATTTCAATTCAATCAGAAACATTTCTACCAATCCATCAATGGAGAAACTCAATGGAGAAACTGCAAGGAATCAGTCAGTACCTGACAAGGACGAAACAGTGCAATTCTGGAAGCAGGTATGGGATAACCCAAAGAAATCAAACAGGATAGCAGCTTGGTTAAAAAAGAAGTGGATGCAATAAAACATAATTGAATGAAAGAACTAGTAATACAACAAAAATGGTAGAAAAAGAGCAAGGAAAATCAAATTGGTCAGCCCAATGGCACCAGGTGAAGATGAACTGCGTGGGTTTTGGTTGAAACATCTGTTATACACCCACTCATTACCAAGCAGTTCAACAATATACTACAAGGAGGAAAAATTGAAAAATGGCTAACAACTGGGACAACCTACCTAATAATGAAAAATCCAGCAAAAGGGGCAACACCAGGCAACTACAGGCCAATTACCTGCTTACCAACAACCTTCAAATTACTAACTGGTGTGGTAGCTGATGCAGTACAACAGCATCTAGTTGCAAACAATCTCTTTCCACCTGAGCAGAAAGGAAACCGCCCCAATAGCAGAGGAACAAAAGATCAACTCCTAATAGACAAAATGATCTTGGAAAACTGCAAGAGAAGGAAGACCAACCTGAATGTGGCATGGATTGACTACAAAAAAGGCATTTGACTCTCTGCCACATGATTGGATAATAAAGTGCCTAGAAATAACAGGAGTCAGTAGAAACATCAGACAATTTGTGCAAAGATCGATGGCACAATGGAAGACACAGTTGCAGATCAATGGTGAGAGGCTGGGAGAGGTTAATATCAAGA